CTTCATTTCCATAGATGATTATGTAGGTATTGATTACAGACACATTTTTCTCTTTCAGTACAGCGCCAGTATTTAACGAAGTATCTGATATTTACGTGTAACATTACAACATTGTCTATGCATTAACTTGACACTTGATTGTAGTTTTTCGTATACCTACAAGAATGTATGTTGCTTTTTTGTAATATTGAAAATATTGTACTTTAAGCTTCTCAACTTGACTGAATACGTAAATATATTACGAATGTAATTACACGTAAGATTTCTGAAGAAATACATGTATATACGTAGTCGCAGACGTTAATTTACATTTTGTATAAGCATAAAAAACTGTTAAAAAACGAAACATGAAAACGTTTGAAGTTTAATAACGTGTTGCAAAACAAGAATGTACCTAGAAAGGATTTCACTCTAGGAACCCCTCTACTTTAATGAGTACAGTAGTGTTCCACTCTAATGATCATACTAGGCAAGACCTGTGGCACCGTCCTGGCACTTATTTCCGCTTGGGCTATAATTTTTAATTTTATTTCATTTAAACTTGCACAAAATCTTTCTCATGCAGAAAAATTTGCGCATTAATTCCGCCACAAAGTATAGTCGAATAAAATCGAAAGTATTTTGGAAAATATCATATAGAGCTAATTTACATTAAATAAGCCACTTCAAAAATGATTTATGATCTTGGAATCTTTAAAGTTGAACTTCGAAATGAAGTGATCTATTCCTAATAGGTAACACATAACCATCTGACCTTTCTAAAGGTTGTTAGAATCCGTAATTTTATGCATTTAAAAATAAACCGCATATCAAATGTTAGAAAATAATTAATTTGCTAAACAGCCGGTGAAAATGATGATTGTCGCACCAATTTCCCGCCTAAGGATTTTGCAGCCATTCCCTAAGTCGTTTTCGACACCTGCGGGAACAGATGGGCAGTTATGTAGGCTTAGTTGCAAGTGTCTCATGGGTAATATGTAAATTTATGTGCAATAAATCTCTGCTCACTAATGTGCAATAAATTTCTGCTTATTAGTATGCTTTCATTTATAACAAATGTATTCTTTCCTTTCATCTCAACTATATTCCGATAAACATAAATAATTATGTACGAAAAATAGATTTCATTTGAGACCTAGAGACTTAATTATTTTGCTTGATACTGAAAGTGGGATGTAATTCGGGTAGCGATAAAAATACTATTTATCGTCAATTTGTATCATATATTTATTCCTATAACTCAATGTTGAATGGATAAATTAATAGCAATTTAACCGAATAATTATGTGATATCAAAGTAGCATTCCATGCCGTAAGAATGTAATACTCTCAAAGGTAAAAGTGGAAGTTTCGTTCGTTTATTACCCAATTATATGAACAACATTTATATGAACAACAATCCGTATATCAGATCTGCATTATTTTAGGATTCCGTACCCAAAGGGTAAAACGGGACCCTAATACTAAGACTATCTATCCGACCAAGCTGTGTCTCACCAACCGTGATAGTTAGACAGCTAAAATTTTCACAGATGATGTATTTCTGTTATGGCGCTATAAAAAAAAATACTAAAAAAACAGCATAAAATATTTAGGTGGGGCTCCACCATTCGGGGATCCATTTCAATGGTACGGTACCATTCGCGCGCGACTCGCACTTGGGCGGACTTTTTTATGTAAATTTGGGAAGCGAGCGTTTGGTTCCAGGGTCCATGGGCATGCAAAACGCAAGACGGTTTGCAAATGCGTTGCCAACTTTTAAAAAAAGTCAGCCCCGGTTAACTCACTCGCTAGACGAAACGCGAAAGTGTAATACTTCCACTTCACGCTGGTCATCTGCGAGGCCGTGGTAGTTTCAAAGTCAAAGTATATTTATTCAATATAGGCCTAACTTAAGCTCTTATTGAACGTCAACAAAAAATCTACCACCGGTTCACTAAACTAGACCTGCACAGAGAAGAACCGGCAATAAAAAACTCTGCGGTCTTGTTCTTTTTGTTATATTTTTTTGATGCAATTATATACACTTATTTAGGTTTAAAATCAGCAGCAGCCAGGGGTCTTGCAAGTGCAGAGCAAGAGTCATTTCCAAACATCCTTGTCCTCAAGTTTCCCGGACGAGGTTTAAATTTAAATTAGTTGTCCCCGCGACATAGTCCGCGTGGAATTTAAAATTAGTGAAAAGCGGTTATTTTATTTTTACAAACAGACACTCCAATTTTATTTATCTGTATATTTATTTTAAATTAAGAGTAGACGACCTCTTGACCAGAATGTCGCATGACGCAAACGAGCGTTAAATTAAATGGCGTCGATAATGAGACGCGTGGGGTAACCATCCGGAAAATGACGTCATACTAATATGTCTATATAGAATCTATATAGAAGAGTCTATAATCATATGAGTATAGACTCTTCCCGAAATCGTTTAAGCTGGTGCTGTAAGCGTTTGAAGGAAACTCTGAAAGACTGTAACTAATTTTAAGTAATTCCATCAATCATTGTTTAAAAAAGTATTTAAATATGAAAATCATGTTACATAATTGAATACTATTTATTACATATTGATAATAATTGGTTTAGTAATTTCACCTGCTTTTGTTTGTAATGGGACAAGTTATATAAGTTTTATTATTTATTTTTTCTATAGTTTTAATAATTAATAGCGATGTTTGCTAAAATGAAAAACGAAGCAATATACAGTCATTTAAATAGGGAATTAAATTACTTACATGGACTAATAATTGGGAACTTGTTATTTGGTTATTGCATTTTGTAACAACATTATAATTTTTTTCAAATTCTCAATTGGCTTTTGGTTTAAGAGCAGTGTAAAGTTAAAATAATACTTTTATATAAATACTAAACTTGTTTGCTAGATGTAATATAATTTCAGTATTTGATGCTCATAATGAGTACCTTATTAATATTTTTTTTTTTCTAATTACCCATTTGGCGTAAGAAATTTACTTCTACAATATGCATACCCTGCAAGACTCGACATAATATTTATGTGAATTAATTTACTCGTTGTTTTAAAATTCCCCCCAAGAATATCCTCACAGGAATACTTGTATCCTGTGAGAATATTTTTTCATTCATGTGTCATGGCATGCTTACTACAAAAACAACGATCTGGTAGACCTCGGCTTTACGCGTTGTTTGTCCCTAAATATTTAAAACTAGCTGCTGCCCGCGACTACGTCTGCGTAGAATATGCTGAAGGCGTAACATTCACACAGAAAGACAGATATACATAAAATATATATTCTATAAATTATAGCCTATGTCTTATTCTGATGTATAAACTATATCATTGTAATGTTTCGTTAAAATCCATTCAGTAGTATTTGCGTGAAAGAGTAACAAATATCCATCCTTACATACAAACTTTCGCGTTTATAATATTAGTACGGATATTGTTTTCTCTTCTCTCTCTTTCTCGCGAATATTATACATATTTAATGAAACTACTATGACATCAAGACGTATAACAACTTAGTCTGTCCCATGACCATTAACGCTGGAACGGGTTCAAAACGTCGGGAATTTAAATCAAAATAAAAAACGCGATAAAATCCATAAAGTAGTTTCATTTAATATTAGTAAGGATGTAAACACGAAAATTAAAAAAAAAAAAAAAAGAAAATTCGTTTCAAACGTCCCTTATGAACAACAACAGCTGTAGAGCGCGCCGTCTCATTCAACACGTATCAAGACTACATCGTATTTAGTATCAAAGGCAATAATTGGCACACGGTCTTGAATCAGAGACCTTTTTATCTTGCTAACTCACAAAAGTAAATGTAATTTTGGATGGAGTCAACGATTAAAAGTTTCTGGAAGATTCAACATCAAGTGTCATTTAACAAAATTATGTTAGTTAAGTTTAGATGTTAAAACATCTAGTTTTACAGGGAAGACGCTTTATTAAATAAACCTTAAAGCCTAATCTTCGTGTTTTAACAGATCTATCACTGCATAGTATAAAACAAAGTCATCCCGCTGTCTGTCTGTCCCTATGTCTGCTTAGATCTTTAAAACTACGCAACGGATCTTGATGCGGTTTTTTTTACTAGATTGAGTGATTCAAGAGGAAGGTTTATATGTATAATACATTGCACCCGTGCAAAGCCGGGGCGGGTCGCTAGTTATATACTAAACCACTGTAAGTAGATTAGAGAACCAAGTGTTTGACTTTCATCGTTCAATCGTAGCTTGTCTAGTTCACGTTTATTTTCGTGTACGGAAACTCAAACGTAAAATACAGGGTTTATGAGCAAATTGAATAGAACAAATTTTGCACAAGGCATGATCAGTTCAACTGTTTCATTTGCGCATGTGTGTTATTAATGTTGTTGAAATCAAATTTCAAATTTAAATGGTGAAAATAAAAAAAGGTAAAGTATAAAAGCGTATGTAAGCAAATGATGAATGGTCATCACCGGTTTTAATCAATAACCAACCAGTAGTGTGGTATAACACGGTATAAAGAGGTTATATGCCACGGTATGTGTAACTTGAATACAGATAATAAAGTCTTCGTTATAATATTTGGCACATTAATCATAGCTTTGAGCACTAAAGGGAAATCACTGAGTTAAGGTTAAATCTTGGCACGTCACATCAAAATTTTAACAAAAAAATCGACTTCAACAGATTGCCCTCGATTTCTTTGGGATAATATTTCCTTATCACGGTACCACCCTTGGGATATCTCCTTTCCAACAAAAAGAGAATCATCAATATCGGTTCACAAACGACGAAGCTATCCGCGTACACACAAAAAGTATATACGGTCGAATTGAGAAACCTCCATCTTTTTTGAAGTCGATTAAAAACCTTCTTCTGTTTTGAAGTCGGTTTAAAACCTCCTTCTTTTTTGAAGTCGGCTAAAAACCTCCTTCTTTTTTGAAGTCGGTTAGAAACCTCCTCTTTTGAAGTCGGTTAGAAACCTCCTCTTTTGAGTCCCTTACGTCGCGTCGTCGGTCAGCACTTACGCCTCTGGTGCCGCTTAGAGCGCGCCGGCGTCGGCGTCGCCGGCGGCTTGGCCCTGACGCTCCCGTAGCAGTGCACCCCCTCCCCCTTGGCCGGCCCCTTCCCCTTGCGCTGCTTGAGGCCCGCGAACATGGCGCGCGCATGTTGGACGCTCACGAGCGCACGCGCGCGCGCACAACCATCCTGCCGCGTCGGCGGCCGGCGCGAGTTTGCGCGTCGACGTTTCGCGCGCTCGCCGTTTCAAATATAGAACGCGCCGCCCTCGCGCGCGTCCGTTATGATTTTTTTTTTATTATTATTAATAAACAGACACGCAACGGCATTAGCGGCGATAGAGCTTTAATGGATCAAGCGTCTGGACGCGACGCCGCCGCTTAGGACACTGTTCGGTGGATTTAACGGGTTCGTCTAGCCACTTTGAACCCGTATTCGTGTTTGTTACAAAAGTATAGCGATGATTATTGTGTATATTAAGGCACATACATTCTTAAGTGTATTATACGAGCATACGCATGCTAGTTCTCATCTAATACTGTTTGAACTGTATCACTAACAAAAACAACTACAACTATTTCACTATACATTTTCAATTTTGAGGAGATGAACAAAATGTCTCCGGATTCCAAGGTCCAATGCTTATAAAACAGTAAGGAGCTAAATTCGTCCCAATTAAAAAAAAATGCCAAATCGGTTTGTAGATGATACAAACGAAAAAAAAAAAAAACAACTGAATTAAGGAGCTCTTCGTTCATCGAATTCTGTTAAAAATGATAAAAGCCACAAATTCAGTTATCAAAATAGTAGTTTGAAGTTTGAACATATTCAAATGTGTTGTAATAGGAAACTTGTCTGTCAAATTTCATTCGGTTAACAACGATACCGTTTGTACGGAGTGAATTTAATCACGATATTGTGGAGCATAATGAGGCTGTACATTTTGAATCATGTACCATATATTCATATATTTCTATATTTGGATCGCATCTAATACCTTATTATACCTTACGATTGCCTATTTAATTAATTTAATTTTAGTAATTACAAGTATACGTTACTTTTCGTATACACGGCTAATTATGAACAACTTTTGAATTTTAACGACATACTATACGTTTTTTTTTAAAGAAACAAAAAATTATCGCTATTTAGTTAGAATTCAAAAATTGCACTATACCATAATCACAGAGAAATATAATCAGATACTTAATACAATATGGTATTTATTTCTTTTTCATTTTCCGATGTTCATAAAAACGAAGCCTATCCATACTAATATTATAAATGCCAAAGTGACTCTATCTGTCTGTCTCGCTTTCACGCCAAACCACTGAACCGATTTAAGTGAATTTTGGTACACAGATAGTCTAGAGCCTGAGAAAGGACATAGGCTATTTTTTAATTGGAAAATCTTCAAAATATCTGTATATTTTAAAGAAAGACATTTATTTAAAGATGAAGTCTTTAAATAAATGTCTTTCTTTAAAACGCGAACGAATCCGCGGGCGAAAAGGAAGTATCCTATATTTTCCAAAAGCAAGTAGGTAGTAGGTAGCCGCGGATTATTGCAGAAAGCTGATGAACGGAGGCCTACATTCAGTAATAGGCTTAATGATGATCTGATTTATCGCCGAGATACACCAAGAGAAAGTATTTATAGTACATGTAAAAGTATTAATCTCATCAAAAGAAATTATTCAATCCCCCGATACATACCAACGTGAATTTTTCCACAATATTTTTTGAGCGAGCAGAAATTATAAACTAATCTCGTAGGAATTAACTGCACTCGTCTTTTATCCAATTTATGTGCTGGCAGCGTAGGAAATAAAAATTTACACTGTTAGTAATGCGGTTACATAACGAAAATACTAGGCAAGCTTCAAACGCTTCAAAGCAAATAAATTGGCTTTGTAATATAAGCTTACATGTATAGGATTTCTCAAGTTATTACTTTACGAACTCACTTTCCACTACACCACAGTCTTAGGAGTAAAGTCGGTAGACTCGTAGACCACCAATGGTATTTCTGCACTTTCAAGTAATTACAATATTAAAATTAAGCATTCAAAAAATAATATTTTATTTATCAGTTTCATGCAACATCATGATAAATATGACACATTCAAATAAAAATAAATGGTCGTGCAAACAAAAATAGTTTATGGGCATGATTTCTAACAAAAACAATAATATTATATTATTATTATAAATTAATAATTGTCATTTGAACCTACTAAGTTACACTTACAGTACACTGTAATGGTTAAAAACATCAAACGGATTTGCGATTGTTGAGGCAGATACTGCAACGTATTAAAATGCTTACACGCAAGTGTTCATTAGATGTGTTGTAAAGTTAAATTTATAAACAGCGCTTTAACGGCCTTATAAATTCCACCACTCAGATCTTATTCAGGAAGCAGCACGCTGCTACGGATCTTTTAGAGTCCCTAATAGACCATCTTTCCCGACGCCGCCGCCGCTTGGAAACGGGTCAAGTTGATCTATGTCGAAATAAAACGCCGCTTTAATGCACAGAACCAACACAGCGAAGGAGCTGGAGGAGTGAACTAAAATAGTCATACGCGATTCGTTCCGGAAGCCGCGGCGGACGGAAATAGTTTCCGAGAATAATAAGGTGCGGCGATTTTGTGTGAGTTGTTGACACATCGATGGAAGTCTTCGAAGATGGAACGTGATCAATGAAAATAAACTAAACTGAATAATTAAATTGAAATTGAAAATGATTAAACTGAATTGAACCTAGCCTGAATTGAAAACAACTGTTCGATTTAAACAGTTCTTTCTTTAGCTCTTCTCTAAACAAAAGTAAAGTAACAACCTATAAATGTCCCACTGCTGGGCAAAAGAGAGTATCAGGGTATATATAGTCCATTACGCGACCTCACTATGGACTTTTCGATATATTTTTTCAGTTCAGGACATTTTTCGACATATTTTGTTAAATTTCGAAAATATGCAGGTTTCCTCACGATGTCTTCTTTCACCGCCAAGCACGCGATAAGTCAGCGCTTAAGATTAACAATATCGTTGTTGCTGGCACCGGGGATCGAACTCAGGTTGCTCGAGTAAATTGAATTAAAAGCGAGCGCCCGGACACTGAGTTATCGGGGTTTTTCTCCAAGATTGAGAGAGAATTTAATAAGAAAGGAAAAGACATATAAGTTCATCGAGAACACTTCAGTAATTAACAACTACAAAGCGGCGATATAACTGTATTAATGCTCATTATATGTTATTCGATATATACGTTACTACGTAAGAGAGCCTATTCGAGCTTACAGATAATATTTTTAATAATTTCTTATGAATGCCAATTCAATACGATTGAAAGGCTGTAGACAAAACTTTGAAAGACTGCAGACAATGAAAGATGTCTGGGGATAACAATAACCTTGAATAATAATTTCGCCGCTTATTGTAAAATTAAATTTAAGCCCGCCTGTTAAATCATTGACTGGCTCTTTGTTGTAGTCATTCAAATGTATTTCACCCTTCGTCCCAATAATGCTTCTTTCTTTGGATTTGTTTCGCTTCACAATTTATTTCAAAAGAAAATGGTAATTACCAGCATGATCATTTATCTAAGTTACACTAATTTTAATTTGAAAATGCAAGCCAGGGCCTAACAGAAAGTAAAATTCAAAAATAAAAAACCGGCGAAGTGCGAGTCTGACTCGCGCACAAAGGGTTCCATATCATAAAAAAGACAAAAAATCATGTCTGTTGTATGGGAACCCCCACTTAAATGTTTTTTATTCTATTGTTTAGTATTTGTTGTTATAGCGGCAACAGAAATACATCATCTTTGAAAATTTCAACTGTCTAATTATCGCGGTTCATGAGATACAACCTGGTGACAGACGGATAGACAGACAGACAGCGGAGTCCTAGTAATAGGGTCCCATTTTACCCTTTGGGTACGGAACCCTAAAAACAAACACGAGAATGTTTTGCGCGCGGTTAATCATTATTAGAAATAAATCGTATCGCAAATGACAACAGATGTTTCAGTTTCCTCATTTGTATCAACACATTTAAATGTTCTTTACGGATTTATTTATAGGTATTATAGCTTTCTGCGTATTAAATCAAGCACTAATTATCTGCACCAACTGACGATGGGATTAGGCCGTTGCCGAAAATCGATGTTTAATCAACGGCCAAGCTTTAACCGAAAACCGGTGTTTAATCAACGGCCGAGCCTTAACCGAGAACCGGTGTTTAATCATGAGCCGTGCATACAGTGGCCTATGGCTGTTATGAGGTGGCGTTAGACCGTCCTTAAGTGCGTAATTAAAGTATACCGCACGTTAGTGTCTGGTCGCCGATGAGAGCTCGGATGAGAGAGGTACTTTAACGTCGAACGTACGGACTCGGGGGAAGATTTTTTGACGTTGTCCGTTCTCCTTTTTTTAAGTGAGAAGGTGAGAAGTTTTTTTGACTTTTTCTTTTTTTTTTAAGTGAGAAGGTGGTGAGCGAACTGGTAACTCACCAGATGTAAAGTGATAGCCGCCGCCCATGGACATTTACCACACCCTTACGAATGCAGATGCATTGCCACTTTTTCATCATAAACTAAAAGTGCAGCGCGTAACATATCTACGCGTTATATCACTGGACCAGTCTGAAACAGCAATAGCTGAAGGCTCTTCTGAAGTAATCAATAAAATAAATAATATAATATAGCTCAGTAAGTTTTAGGACTAATGAGAAGTGATGTTTTTTTGTATGATTGTAATGATTTCAAAGGATAAGTTTACAAATAAAGTAATATTTGCTTCATTCGAATCACGTATTATGTAGCAGTGTAACTGACTTCCGCATTAGAAAGTTCCAGCTTTGGAACCGTGTGTATCGGCTATAAACGACACCAATGTAAAAATAAACAGCCAATCGTCCCGAAAATCGCGCCGTACGTCTCGTAAACCGGCACCTGGCTACATTGGCCCGGGTGACGTTAGTTCGGCATCCCTCCACATCCCGGTACGGCCAGTCGTGTTCCGGATAATGAAACAGCGTTTATTACCGGACGTGTTATAAAGCCAACGTCAAACTGGGGCCACGAGTGAAATTTTACCCGTGGAACCACCCGCCGAAGCGGGTAGGGT